TCTCATGAGCCATGACCGCAGAGTATCCAAATTTTTCCGCTCCCGGATAAGGGTTAGATAATTACTTCATCTTATGAGAAATAGGTAAATTGCATTTGCGTATTGTTTAGTTTATTCATCCCCTTTCTGTGTCCTAAGTACAATTATTAGGCAATCATTTACAAGAGAGTGGTAAACAAGGCAAGTTGAGTTTATGGTCCAAAGTAAGCAATAAATCATTATGCAACTATAAGTGAATTATTGTGTAACTGTCATATAAATACCTATGTAAATAAGACTTTATTAAAGCTTTTTTGAGAGCTTCAGAATCTAGGCAGTATTAAACAGGAGTTTCTGAAACAATGTGGGGGTTACTGAAAAGTCTTTGAGTTTGTAACAATCAATCTGAAATAATACATTTACCCAGAAATAAACTAGGCTTTGAATTGTAGGAAACCCTGCATGAAATAAAACAGCATGTGAGATGGTCATTCAAGAAAAAAGAAATTTTCCCACAGAATAATGAACAGTGTGGAGTTAAGGTGAAGGGTCATTTCAGATTCAGGGAGTAGAGTTTTTCGACTCCTAAGTATGAGTTCTTTACATTTCATCTTTGGAGAGAGGGTAGTCATTTGAAATATCCTGTTATGAAGCGACATTAGCATGCTTAAAATATTTTCATTTGGAAATGGACATTTACAATCAGAATAAGTGAAAGAAAGAATAAAAGTATGTTTTTATTGATTTTGTAAAGACTGAAGGTGTATGTTGATGTTTGAAAAACTACACAATGTCTGGGGAAACATTGCATGGAATTTGGGATATGTAAAAAGTAGTTTTATCTCCATTTGGGCATTTTGGTAAGAGAGAGTGTTTGGGATGAAAATCTCACGTCTCTAATGTGGGGAAATAAGTTTATGGTGGGCATTTCCATTAAACTTGGAAGAGTGGAGGCATACCTGTTTTGAGGAGAACAGTCATAAATTCATTTTTTTAATGATAAGTTAGTTTACCAAATGAGCAAAATAGATATTCCTAAATTTTAGGAAATATTTTCATTTAGTTCTCCCAGCATTTACATTACGAAGCTGATGCAAAGTATTGAGGATTCTATATTTTGAAAAACAATGGAGTTAATATGACCTAAAGGGTATATATTGAACCTGGTGGTGCTAAATAGGGAACATACATTTTTAGATCACATTAGCACTTAAACATTTCCCATATATTAGGCCACAAATAAGCATAGGAAAAAATATGTACATATACACACACATACTACATTACTGTGTGTATATATTTATACGTGTACGTGTGTATATATGTATATATGAAAACATCTATACATTGCATGTATATATAGATGTATGTATATATGCACATATATGCATATATAATCAGTCAAATTATTTCCGTTCAATTAGTAGTATTGCAGTAATGTTCAAGAAGTTAAAAAATAATAGTAATTACAATAATGGCAAAGTATTTTAAGCATAAATTCTACATTAAGATGGGCATCATATGCTAATTTTTCATTGGTAAAAATTACATAGAATGTATTTTCAGTTTTCTAATTTAATTTTTGTAGTTTATCTATATGTCAGGGGGAAAACATCTAATTGCATATAATGAAAAAAACAACATTTTGACTTTACAAGGAACAATTAGTCTATTTCTCTTGAATATCATGACTGACTTGTTTAGGTTTAGATTTACCATCATATTGTGTGCTTTTTGGTAAACCTAGTGTATTTTCTTATTTTTCCTTTTTAACTCTTTGGTATTAATTTTGAAAAATAATTCTCCTTCATACCTCTTATCTTTGAGGATTATATAAGCAGTATCTCTTTCAAATTTCAGGTTACTTTTTAAGGTAATCACAATTTCAAGTTATTTAATACCTTCCACTTCCACCTTGAAAATACATGGATATTACAACACTAATCTATTTACATTCTTAGGCTTATTTTTATTATTATTATTTATATTTATTAAAAAACAACTATGAACATGTGCATAGGTCATAAGTACACAGCCAATTTCAGAAACTTTGGAATCTGAATACACTTCTGCACGTAGCTCCTAGATAAAGAAATAGAAAACTGTTAACACTCAGCCCCCTGGTTCACCCTCCCAATCACTACCCCTAGGGGTAACCACTGTTCTGACACCTAACAACACAGATCAATTGTTTCTGTTTTTTATTTTACATAAATGGAGTAACAGTATGTGTTTCTATTCCTTATGTTGTTTGTGTATATATATCTATACTGTTGAGTGTTGTTGTGAATCCTGCACTGCCATTTTTGTGTAGCATCAATTGTATAAATATTTAACTATTAATGTAATTGTTCCACTGTGTATGCGCATGTGAGTGGTTTTCAGTTTGTGTCTATTAGGAATAGTGCTGGTATATGAGTTCTAGAAATTTCATTTTGGTGATACATTTGTGAATTAGTGTTTCGTATATAAGTAGAAGTGGAAGTGTTGGGTCATAAATTTGCATCTGATCATCTTTCCAAAATATTTCTAAACACTTTTCAAAATGTATGTATGAATTCTCATACTCACCAGTGATGAAAGAGATTTATGGTTTATTCACGTTCTTGCCAGCACTTGATAATTCCTGTCATTTGTATTTTAGCTTTCTGGTTGGTGTGGGATAATTCCAGGTGTTTGTTTTGTTGCATTTCCTTGATTATTACAGAAGTTAAGCATCTTTTGACATATTTAATTGTCACTGGGTAACCTCTGCCTTGGACTGTCTTTTGGTATATTTTTCCCATTTTTGTTATTGTGTTTATCTTCGTATTCACTTGTAGGAGTTCTTTATACACGCTTGATATGAGTTTTTCTTTCTCTGTCTCTCCATCTGTGTCTTCTTCTGATGATTAGTTTTTAAATTAATTTATTTAATTTGTCATTTTCATCTCTATAGTTAGTCTTTTGTTCTGTGAGAATTTTTCTATTCTAAACCACAGATATGATCTCTTTTGTTTCTTTCAATAAGTTTATATTATTTAGCTTATATTTTATGTTAAGAAACCATACCAAATCAATTTGTTGTATTATAGTGAGCAATTAAGTTTTTCCATTATGGCTAAAAAGTTAAATTTATTCTGAAAATGTTGTATTCAGCTTTCTTTTCATTTGCTCTTACCTCTCACTGATTCCCTGAGGTTATCATCACCTCATCCATGGATCTGACTTTTCCTTCAAGTCTCATGGTCATTCCCTCTAACTCTTCTTGCCTCCTGAAATCTTTAACAATCCCATAGTACTACAAAAGCAATGTCATGTTTGGTGTCATTATTTCAGCTGCAAATAGCCAATAAGCTGCTTGGAACTAAACAGAAGTGGCCTCACTCGTATTTGTGTGCAGTCACTCTCTTCCTTGATGTGTCCTGATCCCTCCCTTTGCTTCTCCACTGACTTCAGCAACATTAAATAAAAAGCCAAAACATTCTTGGAAATTTTGTAGAAGGGAGTAACTGAAACATTTATAGCATGTTGTATACAGGTGCACATGTCACCCTTCTGTTCTATGTGATGCCGTGGATGGAGGGGACACGAGGTACAGGGGAGTCTGGAAAAACCAAAGACTATAGGATTAGGCATGGTTGCATTCATGGGCAGAAACAGAGAAGCCCCTGATCCTACACACTCTCTAAATGCTGATAGCTACAAAAAAAGGCAGCAGAAATCTTAGGATGAAGAGCCAAAAGAGAATGAATTATCTCTATTATGCTAAGCAGCTCCTCATGGTATCCTCCCATAGCCCCTTGAATTCTCCTACATACATGCCAGGATATGATGTAATATTACTAGAGCACCTGACTTCTTCAGATGTTGAAATCCTTGGTGTTCCCTTGCAAAATAGAACTCATATTCAAGGGATAAGGTTTGGGATGTGTATACATGGGAAAAGGAAGTTACCATAACCATGGAGATAGAACACTTTAGAGGAATTCAACATCCTGCTGTTTTTGCTCCTTCAGAATCTTCAGCAAGAAGTGATATGTTACATGACGTACTTCCATACCTTATAAGTTTTAGAAGGAGTAACCCCTACTAGGGAGAACTGCAGGTAGTGAGGTGATAGTGAGCCCAACTACCCTGACATCTGCCAGCAGTGGGTGTTCAATGATATAGCCTGAGTGCCTCTATATTTGATGTCCAAAGTGTTCATCATGTAGATGATGTTCTGATTGTTGTCGATTCAGAAGGCCCAGTCTTAGTATCCCTACTTAAGAAGTGTTATCACGTGTCTGCCAGTAAAAGTAGCTGATAAAACATGACATAATTGAGAGTTCTGCTTACCAATTAAAGTTTATTGAGAATATGTAAGCAAACTTACATGTTCAAACCTTCCAGCAGTATAGCAAAATTAATGTTCTCTTTGGTCCCTGCTACGGTGTGAATATTTCTGTCCCTCCAATTTTCATATGTTGAAAGCTAACTCCCATATTGATGACTTAAGAGATGGGACTTTTGGGAGGTGATTAGGTCATGAGGGCAGAGACCTCATAAACTGAAATAGTGCCCTCCTGCTAGCATCCCAGGAAAGCTCCTTTGTCCATTCCATCATTTGAGTACACAGCCAGAAGCCTCCTCCTGGGAACCAGAAAGTGGGCTCTCACCAGGCACAATCTACTGGTGTCTTGATCTTGGACTTCCCAGCCTCTGTCATTATGAGAAAAAAAACCTCTCTGTTGTTTATAAACTACCCAGTCTCTGGTAGTTTGCTTTTGCAGCCCCCCAAAAACTAAGGCAAAAGTTGATACTGGGACATCAGGTACACTTGTAAAGGTACATAAAAATGTGGAAGTGCTATCAGAATTGCACCATGAATAGTCTCTGAAAGAGTTTGGAAGTTCATGCTGGAAAGTCCTGCATCACTATGAAAGGACTATTAAAGGCGTTGCTGGTGAGAGGTCAGAAGGAAAAGGACAGCGCTGTAGAGAGAACCTCAAACTTCTTAGAGAATACCTAAGTGGTCATGGACAGAATGGGGTAGAAATATGGACTCTAAAGGCCATTTGGATGCGGTCTCAGACAGAAATGAGAAACATGTTACTGGAAACTTGAGAAAAGGTGATCATTATAACAATGTGGCAGAGAGTTTTGTTGAATTGTGTTCAGATCGTAGTGTTTTGTGCAGGGTACACCTAGTGAGCAGTGAAATTGGATCTTTGGCTGAAGAAATGTCTAAGCAAAGTGTTGAAGGAGCAGCCTGATTTCACTTGAATGCCTATAGTAAAATGGAAAAAGAGAAAAACCTTGTGAATATGGAATTAGTAATCAGAAGGGCAGCAAAACTGAAAAATTTGGAAAAATATTATCCAGGAATGTAAAACAAGTATGATTAATATGCTAAAGGCTCTAAGGGATAAAGTAAAGGGCATGCAAGAACATATGGGCAATGTAAGAAGAGAGACGGAAATACTAGTAAAGAACCAAAAAAACAAAATGCTAGAGCTAAAAAAAAAAAAAAAAGTAACAGAACGAGGAATGTGATTGAATGTGATTGATGGGCTTATTGGTAGACTGGACACGACTGATGAAAAATATGTCTCAGCTTGAAGACATATCAATAGAAATCTCTAAAGCTAAAAAATAAAGAGAAATTGGGGTAGAAAAATAAGAACAGAACAGAATATCCAAAGGATTGTGGGACAACTAATAATGGTGTGACATATGCATAATGGATAGACCAGAATGAGAATAAAGAGAGAAAGGAACGGAAAATATTGGAAACAATAATGACTAAGAATTTCCACTAATATACATCTGTTACTAAAGACACAATATCCAAACCCAGACAAGAGAAAAACATTACTAATGAATAAAACTACCGACCAGTATCTCTCAGGAACTCAGATGCAAAAACCCTCAACAAACATTAGCGAATTAAATCCAACAATGTTTTAAAAGATTTCTACACCATGACCAAGCAGGATTTATCCCAGGTATGCAAGGTTGGTTTAACAGTCAAAAATCAATTCGTTGTACCCATCACAACAGCCTAAAGAATAAAAATCTCATAATCACATCAGTAGACGCAAAAGAAGCTTTTGACAAACCCAAACTCATTCTTGATAAAAATTCTCAGTAAACCAGGACTAGAGAAGAGCTTCCTGAAGATGATGAAGAAAACCTACAAAAACTTACAGCTCACATCATAGTTAATGGTAAGAAACTTGAAGCTTTCCCACTCAGCTCAGGTTCAAGGCAAGGATGTTCCATTTCCCGACTCCTTTCCAACATTATACAGGAAGTCCTTGCTATATAAAGACTAGAAAAATAAATTAAATAAATGCAGATTGGGTAGAAAGAAAAAAATAAGAAAACAACTCAGTGAAAAATGGGCAACACACTTAATAGACACCACACCAAAGAAGATAGACACTTCACAACTAAGCATATGGAAAGATGACCCACATCATATGTCATCAGTGGAGTGCAAATTAAAAGTACAATGATATACTACTACATGTCTCTTAGAATGGCCAAAATCTGGAACACTAACAATAAAAGTGCTGTATTGTATGTGACGCAACAGGAATTCTCATTCACTGCTAGTACAAAGGCAAAATAATAAAGCTGCTTTGGAAGACAGATCGGCAGTTTCTACAACATTAACCATACTTTTACCATACAATCCGGCAATTGTGCTCCTTGGTATTTATTGAAAGTAGTTGAAAACTTATGTCCACACAAAAATCTGCACAAGAACATTTATAGCAACTTTATTCATAATGCCAGAACTTGAAAGCAACAAATGTGTTCTTCAGTAGATGAATGGATCAATATTCCTCCATTTATTCTGGGAATGGAATACTATTCAGCACTAAAATGGGTAAGCCATCAAGCCAGGAAAAGACATGGAGGATCCTTAAATGCGTATTACCAAGTGAAAGAAGCCAATCTGAGAAGGCTACGTAATGTAGGATCCCAACAATATAATATTCTGGTAAAGGCACATGTATAAGACAGTAAATATCTGTGGTTGCCAGGGTTGGTGGAGGAGGGGGGATGAATAGGCTGAACCTAGGTGATTTTCAGGACAATGAAAATAATCTATATGATACTATAATGATGGATACATGTCATTATCCATTTGTTCAAAGCTGTAGAGTGTGCATTCCTAAGAGTGAAGCTTGAGGTAAACTATGGACTTTGAAGTATTTAGGATGTCTTAATGTAGATTCATCACTGGCAGCAAATGGACCACTCTGGTGGGTGATGTTGATAATGGAGGAGGCTATGCATGTGTGGGAACAGGGAGTACATGGGAAATCTCTTGTGCTTACTATCAATTTTGCTGTGAATCTAAAACTATTCTAAAATACAGTCTTTAGAAAATTACATTGGTATGTATAGCATGAAACACGTATTTGAGATGCTTTAAAAGATTCAGTGCTCTGAAAGAATATTTGAAAAATTGTGTCTTTTTTTCTTTAACATTTATCTTAGTCAGTGCACTTTAAAGATTTCAGTAAATATTATACCTAAAGGGCTGGAGAACAAACTGTGGCACTAAAACTTATATAACACAGAAACATAGATAAGCAACAGAGGAAAAAATTGTGATCTGTTAATTCAGTTATAATCTATATTACCTAACATAGATCATGAATTTGTGTATTAAATATGCATTTACTGTATCATTTTCAAGGGTTTCTATCAATTCCTATTCCAAACTGTTAATCCATCTTCCATTGCTGCTTTTGGTTTATTTCAAACAAAAACTGGGACCTGGAGTCACATGACAGATTGTTCAGTGAATCCACATGGCCCCTGGGAAGGGAGGGGGCAAAAGGGACTGAAGACTCAGGATAGCTTTCAGAAAAATTCTCAGGGCAGACTCCTCACACAGCGTAGATGCTACCATGTGATTCCCACTACTCCTTCTATAGCCCAGGCCTGTGCACTAGGTAATGATGTGGCCACACCCATCCCAGGAAAGGCTCAGCCCCTAACAATCTGGCCAAGGAACCTGCACTTTTGTAGATTCCTGCCCCAACCCTCAGAGAACTCAGCTGTCTCGGGTTTGCTGTTTGATATCTCCAGCTCAGTGCTACTGAAAAGCCATCCAGGGGAGCAACATCAGCAGCAACAGGGAACTTGTTCGGGATGCCATTTCATGAGCTCCGCTGCAAACCTGCAGACTCATAACTTCTTAGAGTGGGTCCTGATCCCCAAGGGATCTGTATGCACTTAAAAACTCAAGAAATGCTTACCTTACTGGTTCCAATATGGTTTTCCATTAGGACCATATGTGGAGTTTTAAGAACTAACATCACCTGTGGCCTCCCCCTCAGTGTTTGGATGGGAGCATCAGTATTGTTTTAATTAAGGACCCAGGTGATTCTAAGGTGAGGCCAGGGTT